GAGGGAAAGCAAATATTAACCTAATACCAAGTTTATGTATGATTGTAATATGCTTGGATCTAATCAAAGTTATTTATTTATTTAATGATTGATTGCCCATAACTTACATATATATATATATATATATATACCATTTGCAATTAGAAGTTATGTTAAACCCAAAATTTGAACGTAATTTGTCGAATAGTTCTTGAGAAATAAAATTTCAAAAATATCTTCTTTTTTTTAAATTTTATAATTTGGATATTTTTTAACCGTTTGCGGATTTCGTTTTTTAAAATTACGTAATTTAAAATGAATTAAAAGTGTACGTACTTTACAACTCAATTCTTTTTCGATCCTTATTAAATAAAATGCTAAAATAATAATTAAAAAAAAATTGAATGGAATTATCTGTGGATAAACTAACTGTATTAAAAACATTACAAAAAGATATTACAATTTATTTACATTTGATTACAAAAACAATTTACTTTTTATAAGAACTGCTGAAGATACGGCTAAATACGCAAAAAGTGAAATTAACATTAAGGGACCCAGACATTACAGACAACTTTTCTGCCGAAACTATTAGAGCAGTATTATTACTGTTTTCCGTATAATTTGATGGTCGAAAATCGGAATCCATTAAAAAAATTTCATTTATTCAAACAAAGTACGTTTTTTCTGTCTGTAACTTAGGATCTGAAGAATTAATGTATAGCTTTTTCTAGTAATTACGAATGGCACTCAGTTTCTGAAAATCCAATCATCAGTTTCCAATCATTAGTTACTCAAAGCGATATCTTTTTATCACTAAACATACCAACACTTAATCTATTTCTACCACAGCCGGTCAAATAACTGGACTTTATGTTTCTTGATTGAATGTATGAAACATGGATGTTAGGAAGGAAATAAACTATAAAAAAAAACTTTATTATAATTAAGCAAAATTGCATATTGCCCATTTTTATGTATTACAAACACAAAGAATTAGATTTTTTAATTCATCGCTCAATGCATTTTTTTTTACATATACAGGGTGTTTCCATCGTTCATTTTCCGCAAACATATTTCTTCTATTATTATTTCTATAATTCTTATCATTATAAGAATTATAATTATTCTTGTAATTGATATTATTTTTTCTAAGAACTTGATTGTTTCTACATTTTTCTGGGTAAGAACTAACACTTACAAGGGAAACTAGGGAAGTGTGACTCGCCAATTTTGAAATAAACTAGTGGGATGTATGCCTTATGAGNACCAAAACATTTAGCTTTTGTCACTTTTTCTGACACAAAAATGCCAATCTAAAATGCTTGGTACTTTTTTGACATTTGAATTCACAGTTATTCTGATTGAACTACCTACGCAACAATTTTTGCAGAAATGCGCAACTCATCGAATGCAAAGAGGTTGAACACGCATGACAACGTCATTTCTGATCCGATGACCTTATAAAGCAATAAATTGCTCTCCCGGTTAAATGACCGGTAGTGGCAGAAATAGGTATACGACGAGTATTATTGGAAACAAACAAAATACACAAAAATAATAATAATAGAATATTAACTGCATATAATTGTTAGAAAAAGTCCTGAAGTCAGATGTGCAAAAACGATAAGATGAGTGCATTTTCGATGCAAAAGTTCTTAAGCGGTCATTTAACCGGTTATGGTTTACCTAGTTTTAATTATGTACACTGCACTTATCAGCAACAGTACTAACTCACTTTTAGAGAAGCGCTTCTTGACAGGACTTTCAAATTGATTTTCGCAGGAAGTGACGATGATGTCCGTCAGAGTAATAAACCGCTCATCAAACTGACATAATACCAATTTCAGTTTACTCGCCTGTCGTTTCCTCAGCACAACCTGTTTAGAGGAAGGAAAACAATTCGTGATATGTTACTGTGAATGAACAAAATGGGTCACCGTTGACTCCCACCGATGAATGTTGACCATTACATAGTAACTTTGGTAAATGACAGATATATATACTAGGTCTAGTTAAGTGCCACTGCCCGGTATGCCCAACATCAATACTTTTTTGAAAGTCAAGTGCCACTGCTCAATATGCCCTTAACCGGTACTCCGAACACTGAGGTTTCTCCTAATCTTATCCTCAGCAGATATTAAAATATCGAATAAATATAATATCAACGAGCAAATTATTAGTATCAAATTAGATATAGCAAATATTTCGGACATTCACCGGTGAAAGTCGACATTCTCTTGATTTCTGTCATTCACGGTGACACTTCTATACAGTAGGGAACCGATTATCCGGAACGATCGGGACCATCGGGACTATTCCGGATAACTGATTTTTCCGGTTTTCTGAATCGCTACAAAAAGCCGTTTTTTTTATTGTTAAACCCAACTAAAAAAAAAAAAATTGGATATAATCTTAAAAAAACGATTAAGTAATACACTAATGATTATTTCCAAAATGATGGTAAGGTAAAAATCTTTCAAAAAAGAAAGAAAAATCCTAAAATCTTAGAGGAAAAAAAATTTTTTTACAAAAAATAACGGGAAAATTAATTGAATTTCGTTCTGGTTTTTTGGTTTTCCGGTTTCCGGATAACGGGTTCTGTACTGTATATATATATATATATATATAACATACATATATAAATATATATAAGTTCAAAATGTATAGAAAACATGGAAAAAAATTGCAGAACAATGAAAAAAGGGAAAAATAAAAATAATAATTATTATAAAAATAATAAAAATTCTGAAGAAAAAAAATCCGAAAAAAGGATGAAAAAAAATATAAATCCGAAAAATAAAAGATATAATCTTTTCATCAGCTCACACGATTATATCCGCAAAAAGGAGTGCTTTCTAATATTGTATCAATACAGCCAAAGCAAAAATATATCAATACAAAAGTGCGAGAAGCACTCAAAAAAGTTTACGAAAAATTTACAACGAATAAAATGGAACACATTAAGTAAAAAACAGAAATTGAAATGAAAAGAAAAAACAAAATAAAACATAAGACGAAATCTATAAAATGAGCAGCGAATTCAAATGAACTTGCATAAACGAGAAATTTTTCAAGAATGATTTAAATTATTTTCGTAACAAGATTGCAGGATTATAAAAAATGAAAACAGAAGCACAAACTGAGGTAAAAGCGTAAGTAGAGGAGTTTTGTTTTATAGTGCATTCTTACTGCAGTACTGAAGTGCGTTTGATTTGTTAGTTGCCAGGGATGGGCTCGAAAATGGATGTGCGCAAGGTAATATTATACTGGATAATTTAAAGAAGCTTACAATTAATAAAGTTGATATTTAGTTTCTTCCCGTCTTGAAAATCAACGCGTTATTTTTATTTATTTTTTTCATTTTGTGACGTGGCGAAGTTGACTGTTATTCTACTTTATAGCGAAAATTGCCAGCCAAGTGGCTGAGCGATTAACGTGCCTGACTGTGAAGCCAATGGCTGCCGGTTCGAATCCCGCTCAGGATATGAATGTTTATCTCTGTGTTGTCCTCTGTTGTGTGTAAATGTGGCCCACCCTATAAACGGGTATCTGTGGCATGGGTCCTGTTGCTCACCTCCGTAACTTAGGCCACAAGGTGCTCACCAGACAGCAGCGCAAAATGAGCAATATCACCGGTATGGTGAAGAACTAAAGTTCAGTGCTTGTCTAAAAAAATAAAGCAAAAGTTCACTCTCTTAAAGATCTGCTGCCTATTTCCTTCCTTAAAAATCTAGCAAAAGATACAGTGTAATAGAACCGATTGAACTTCTTTCTTATGCGAAGACAAACACAGAAAAGTTACTTTTCGCTCATGTAATTTTTCAACCGACGATTCGAGAAGTGGTTAGTTGTGTCGTGACAACAAGTCATCTTTTCATTTTGTGATTTAGTGAAAGTAACTACGTATTATCCGAACATATAGGTAAATCACAAATATTTGCAGCAAATTTGCTTGAAAATTAATCAATAGTACTACTTTATTTATTTTTTTTTCTCCGATGCCCACCTTTTAGAACAGGGGTTTCCAACTTACATGAGGCCGGGGGCTACAATTAAAAACACAAACCAAATGGCGGGCAGCAACTTTATCAAAATTTCATGTAGGACTCTTATGTTTGAAGGAACATAAAATATTACTATCAGAATTTTACCAAGTAGTACAAAACAAAAGTATTGAATTACAAATTGAAATAAGAAGTAGATTTTTAAAAATGTTTAATTGCATATTAAAAAATTCAGGCTAAAATAACTTTAATGTGAACCCATGTATTAATCAATTAATGTGCAACAGATTTCTAATTGTTAAGATATAAAACTTTAAATAGGTTGGTATTAAAACTTACATAGTAGCACACAAAATATTCAATGACAAAATTGAGGTGTGTCTGCTGCAACCACCAGAGAATAGATATTTACATTTTAAATTTTAAATTTACAAACATGTGTATAAATATTTTCGTCCAAAATTAGTGGTTTCAAGAAGTTAAATCGGAGAATTTCTTCGAGAAAATTTCTGATATACACATGCTAAATTATATTCACAAAATACAAAAAAATAAAATAAGAAAGAGCAACATACACGATTATTTTAGTATTTGAATAAATATTTTCTTGGATGCAAAACCTGAGAAAAAATTTTTTTTGCACAATTGGTATGATAAATTTCACAGAAACGAAGAAATTAGGTTTTTATTAACGAGAAAAGTATTTTAAACCCCTATAGATTTTTTCGAAAATTGTCTGTAAGAAAATGACAATATATTTTAGTTCGCGGCCACAAAAAAAAAGGCTTCGCTGGCCGGATGCGGTCTCTGGGGAGCTAGTTGGAAACCACTGTTTTAGAATGACCCACCTGGGCATCATGCAAGCATCTGAAGGGCAGATTTGTTGGCCACTCTTTCAGGAGCATCCTATTAGGTGGGCCAACGTTACACCCACGAGAAGGAAAAAACATCCATGCCTTGCCCGGGATTGGAACCCAGAACCTTTCTGATGTAAGGACAGTTCCCTAACCCCTACACAGGCCTGTCGACTAGTAGTACTTTATTTACGCAGCACTAAAGCTGCACAATGGGCTATTGGGTGACGCTGTGGTAAATATTCCTGAGTAAGACCTGAATAACATGCCATCACAATTTTGATCTTCTAAAAAGATATTTCAGCTTTGAAATTTTTAGATTATATATATATTATGTTATTTAAATCTGACATGGCGGAAAAGTAATTTTTTAAATTTAAATGGTAAGTAATAGAACATACCAACTAAATCTAAATGGAAATATGCTACCATTTTTTCAACGGTGCAGTTTTCACACCACTGTATTAAAATTCGTTGAATTACAGATTTAAAATATCCATAGTATTCCAATAAATATTTCGTGGAATATGTAAAAATAAGCATCTTAATAGTGTCAGATATATTTGAGCAATATAGAGCATCTAAAAATAAAAATGTGAACTGATTAATATATTTACGCCATTTCAATCATATGGCACAATTTTTAAGCAACGTTATCTAGACTGTTAAATTAGTTTTAAAAAAATAATTGTTTTGAAACCTCTTTAAAATATAATTTTATATGGTATTGTATTACAGGGTGTTTATAAAGTCCCAGACCCATTTTGATGTTTAATAACTCATAAAATAATAAAGATAGATTAAAATTAATAACATAAATGGTTAGATAGACTCAAAAAGTTTCATGACCCTTGTCAATGAAATTCCACGTGTGGCCCCTTCGTCGCACGGAGAGTATCAAGTCGATAATCAATTTCACGCCAGGTAGCGGCAAGCATGTCGGTATCCACAGAGGCTATTGCGGTTGTAATTCTGGCTTTTAGGTCAACAACGTTCGACACGATCCTCCTGTAAACATTGTCCTTTATAAATCCCCAAAGAAAAAAGTCCAGCGGCGTTATATCAAGTGATCTGGGTGGCCAAGGAAATGGACCTCTTCGTCCAATCCATCCTCCTGGAAAATGGTTATTCAAAGAGCTACGAACGATGATACCCCAATGAGGTGGTGCACCATCTTGTTGCAAAAAAACATGTGGCTGAAGCTCTTCTAGTTGTGCAAATACGAAGTTTTCCAACATGTCTAAGTATACGACTGATGAGACCGTCTTTTCTGTAAAAGAGAAAGGCCCAATGACTCGGTCTTGCATTAGTCCACACCACACATTAACCTTTGGGGAATCCCTTTGTGTCTCACGGTATTGTGTCTATCTAACTCTTTGAGTCTATCTAAGCATTTATGTTATTAATTTTAATCTATCTTTATTATTTTATGTGATTTTTAAACATCAAAATGAGTCCGGAACTTTATAAACACCTTGTATTAATGCCATATGCTTTACTTTTATTAAAATGTTTTTTATCATAATATATAAAAATGTATGCAGTGAATGTATATATGTAGAACCCGCAAGAAATAAAAGGATCACCCTGAATAACTTTTGATTTAATGATCCTCTTCATGTTCCAGAACTCAATTTTAATAGTTTAAGAGGGTGACTTCAAATATGCTAATTAATTAGTGCTGACAATATTTTAATTTACTAAATAAGACGAGAAAACGAATTTTCTCTTAATAAACATGCCTTTTTTTTCCCCGACAGATTCGGATACCTGACACCCTAAATATTGGGGGTAGCCGCAATCTGGAAAATATGGTCCCAATCGAATATTGAAAAAAATCGTATTTTAAAAATCCAATTTCTGTGGAACAATTCTACCAATTTTTCTCAAAGCTTTGTGTTTTTTCACTTAAAATTGCATTCTCTAATGTAGAAATGTGTATACCTTACAATCCAATTCTTTTTCCGACTCATTTAAAATAAATTAATAAAAAATAATAAATATTTACTTAAAGTTATAATTTGCATGGAATGACCTTTAGGTAAACAACGTTTATAATTGCATGAATTTTTTTTAAAGTCTTTCGAGAAACGTAGAAAGTAAAATTAACACTAAGGGGTTCAAATTTTGAACCGCCCTCCTGACCAAACTATTCGAACTATATTTCCTACATTGCGGCTGCATTCCATTTTGGGTGTTAGAAATCCGAATCAATCGAGAAAAAAAAATGGTTTATTCAAAGAAAGTACGATTTTGGGTCTGATTTCGTAACTCAAAATTTACTAATTAATTAGTACATTTGAGGTAATCCCACTGAATCATTACGATTGAATTCTGGGACGTGAAGATCTCATTAGTACGAAAGTTCGTTTTTCATTTTGCGTAATGTACATGCAATGTTTGTATAAACATACATACATTGTATGAACATTTCATGTTCATACGTAATCAGAGGAAATATTTTCACAAATAATAGTCTTTTTATTTTCAAAAAGAAATCGAGAATACAGCATTATTTTTGGTGGTTTTTCACTATGTTTTAGCTAAGTACGTTGAAAATTATACAGTTTGTATTTACGTGAACCGATTGGACCTTTCACCTCATTTCGAATATCAGTAAAAGTTTCAGCAAATATTTACAGAGAAAAGGAAATAATAAAGAGGCTCTGCCCTTCATGCATTTTTAAGGCGACAATGAACTTTCAAAATATTTTTTAGAAATTATCAAGGGATCTGTATGAAATTCTCAGTATACATTTAGATTGTTAAAAACAACTTATATCCAAAAATTAAAAAAAAAACATTTTAAAACTTAAGAAATTATAAAATTTCGAATTTTTAATGTTTATTTATATCCTCTCGTCCTCTCGTCTGAAATTTTGCTAAAATGTCAAAATTCTTTTCACATATTACATATCAGGTAATATAAAAAAATTGTTGGGAGTACTTTTTTTTACTATAAATAACAATAAAAAAGCAGTAAAAAGCCAGAATTTTTGGAGAAAAATCTTCATACCGGTATGAAATATCACGAATAAAAATAACACTGTTAACATAATTTAAAAAACTTTTCCAACAAAATGTTAATAATATTCTTAAATATATAGCATCAAATTCTCGGGTCAATGGAATGAGAATCCATTTCCCTGGAAGTTTAAAATTTGCCAATTAGTCAAAAGAGACATTTTGAGAAAAATGACTTTTACTACTTTTTCATTGCAGAGCGTCAAAGGGGAGTGGTTAAAACAGAAATGGCCATAACTTCGTCAATTTTGCTCTCACTCAAGAATTTTTTTTAAAAAAATGTTCAGTCAAATGCCTAAATTTCAAAAATATAAAAAGTGAAAAATCGATTTTTTGGGGGGGCAAATTTTTGCTTATTTGAAAGTCCCTTGCCACCTTAAAGTTGCAAGGCGCACTGCAAAGTGAATGACCCATCACCCTCTCTTATCTCAACCCCTATTATGACCAAGCAAATGTGAAGGAGGTCTTCGGTAATGCACACTAAGAGGTGTTAACCACTTTCGACCCATAATATAAATATCTTTATTTAATCCATTTTCGTCTAGGATTCTGAAAACGTACGTCATGCGAAATGTATTTTTACATGTTATATGCATTTAATGGTTAACACACACTTCTTTCTCAAAACTATGTACTAAAAATAAATGATAAAATTACCTTGTGCGTGGAGGAAGTTTGCAGAAAATGACTCCAGGAAGTAGTGTTGTCTGCGAGTTGAGATAATTGTGAGTTCATCAGAGAGAAGTGAGGTGTGGAATCTACATTCAAATGAATCATTCGATCTTTCAAATGGATGGAAGTAATAGTCCTGAAAGGAATGGCAATTCTTGCCATCTCATCATCCCACTTCTGCTCAAGTTTTTTCAAACTTGGCTGGTTGCATCTGCTGACTGGAAAATCATACAGGAACTGTCTGTAAGGAGACTCTGTTTTAATTCCACGATAAGGCAAGATTTTATTTTATAACCGTGGTTGAACAGCTGAACCAATAGGGAGTTTTCGATTACCATTGTTCAATTCCGCAGCCTTGTAATCCTCCTATGGTTAGCCTGACGGCAAGGGGACGACTCACCCATGACCACTGAGGATATTTTACGTCATCGCCGCGGTCGTTGCGAGCAGCGTACAGAATTCGTATCGACCTGCCATATCAGTGACTCAAACCGGGTTCACCTAGTAGGAATCGACTTCCATTACAGCTGAAGTGAGTGCTTGCAGTGAGGAAGGTCGATTTGGATGGGGCTACCTAATTCAAGCTCTACTTCGTCCCAAAGATGTTCAATGGGATTCAGATCGGGGTTCGGAAAAGGCTGATCTAGTTTTTGAACACCCATTTTGTCAAACTACGTCAGTGCAAACCTCGATCTGTGAATGGAGCGTTATCTTGCTGGAAGATAAATGGGCCGAAGTATTGCTATAGAGTTGGGAGTGCAGCATTGTTTACATACATCTCAGAGTTCATGTTTTCAACCACAGGAACTAACTGAGCCAGGTTAAACTACGAGAAAAACCATCACACCATTATGCTTCCACCACCCATAACAACCAGGTGTCTGCTTACTTTCGGCCAGATGATGTACATGAAGTTAAACTGAAATGTGAATTATTGGGAAAATAATGCGTGATAAATAAAAAAAATAATTAAAGATTCGTTATTTTCAATCAAAAATATACACCTATTTTCATCTTAAAGACGATTTTCCTGATGTACAGGGTTTTCGAACAGGTACTAAAAATAAAACGTTTCACAACGAATTATTGATAAAGCTGTATTCAGTTGTCTTAACTTATAAAGAATCATTTAAGAAATGCATAAAAAAAACTGAAAACCAATTTTGAAAAATGTAATATTTGGACAATTATAAATGTAATATTTTAATTGAAGCGCATTTGCAAAACATGCAAAGAAATTCTCTTCATTTTGAAAGATGCTGAATGAAACAAAAAATGAACTTCTTTTAAAATCGTCGCCAATAGTCACGTGAGTAAACCGTTCTTCGATTTTCCCTCGTTTTATTCCACTGTCCCTCCCCGGACTTTCACGCATGGATGGTTGACTGTGGAAAACTAAAATTCGTCGTAAGACATCCGGGTTACAAGTTCCGACTGATTTTTACGTCTAAACTTGAAAAAAAGCACCATCCAATATCATTAATACTTGTAGTGTTTTCAATATAACACATTCCTTCAATCTAATTTTCAATGAAACAACACATGACTCCGCAAACTTTGTGTGATGCTACCAAAATAAATAAATAAATAAATAACGAACGGTCCTATTTTACAAAAAGTTTGCCAAATAATAAGGGATAACACTCAAAACATGGCTAACATTACACTTTTTTATGCTGCGATATTAATTTCGTTAAATTTGTTTTGACGCCAACTAGCTGAATGGTAGCGCTTCCTGTTCTCCTGCCACAGGTCCTGGGTTCGATCCTCCGGGCGGACTCAGCATTTCATCCCTTCAGTGGATCGATGGGAACTAAACACTGGGGGTTTCGAGTTCGGCTGAACACTAACCAGAACATCTGCTCCGGCAACCCAGAGCCCAGGATCGAGAAAACTAAGATGGGGACAGTAGGCCTTGGCCCTCTACGGGCTGTCGCGCCACTGAGTTTAGTTTAAATTTGTTTTAGGCTCACGACCTGTTTGAATTTATAAATTACAGATGAATTGTAAAATTTTAAGCGTGCATTTAAACACAAACCACAATAATAAAACTTCCTAGAACATTTAAGTCTGTTCACACCTCGCCTCGCAAGCATATCATAAGCGGAGGGATACACCGGAAGTTTTCTAAATATCTTCCGGTTTTAGGAAGCTAATTATTGTTTACATTCAGTCAACCATCTATATAGTTTGTCTAAAGCAAGAACTCCCCTAGCTATTCGTCTGAACCTGTGGCGGTAACTGTGGTAACGAGGTATGACTATTTTAAGTAGGGGTGTGGGGTCACTGTTTAGGACAGGTTTCGGTTCGGGTGGGCAAGAGAAAGGGAATCTTTTTCTTCGTGTTGCCCTAGAGTGAAGAGACTCCCTGAAATGTGCTATTCTTGTTTCCATAGTAGCATACGGCCTCAGACTTTGTGGCGGTGGAGTTCTTACCGTAGACAAACTATAGGTTCTGAATAGCGTAGCCCTCTAAAACCTCCTTTTTTTCTGTGTTTGTATTGGTATTGGGATGAAAGCATATCTTACCGTTTCATGAATAATACTTTGAACTTGCTTCGGAAACGTCCGCGTGCGTCGACATCTTCCTGAACCTACAAGATTAGAAAAGCATCAATGTATAATTTTTTGTTGTTGCTTTGTTTTGATTTTCAATAACGTATCTTAAGTTTAACTAAGGATTCTGAATTTTTTTTACAGGTGTTAAACATATTAACAGACATTGTTTAAATACAAACACTTTTGTGAAATATCGCACAGAACTTGTACAATTTAATTTCCTTTAGAGCTAAAATTTGAAGAAAAAAAATATATACCATGATATCTTGCTTGCATGATAAGAGATTTAAAACAAATTGAGATGACTCTTAATAGGCAGACAAATAGGATCCTTTTAAAATCATACAAACTCACAAAAGGCATTTTTTAAATTGCAATAAACTTAATTTTTTACCAAATGCCAAAATGGGTCTTGGTTTCGATTTGATGGCGTCCGCGATTTTCAACTATGTTCAAGAGTAATAATAAACAGTGCGCATGCGTTGCTATGGCGACCACTGCTGTTTTTCTTTTTATTTTCACTAGCAGGTCTTTTTAATGTACTTACATCATAATAGTTTAAAGTATTTTTATATTCTTTTTATTATTAACGTATAATGACTGGCTTGACGGTGATTTCAATATCGATATGAAAGCTGAAGAAGAAAAAGTATTTCGTGAAACATGTACATAGGTAAGGATATGAAGATCAAACATCCATTGAGACAGTTTTTGCAACCCATGATTTGAAATGTTTAAAGGAGTCAATCCAAAAAGAAAAAGCTTTTCACCCATGGGTAACCAGAGATCGTAATAAGGCTATCACAATTTTTTTGCTGATTTTTTCTTTTTTTTGTTGATTTTGTTAAAAATAATTTCTTATTTTGCCGAAATAAAGTATAAGATATTTACTAGTATTCTTGGGCTACAATCTGTTGCAAGTTAAGAAAAAAAAACTATTATTCCTATGGAGAGAGCCTGTTTGCATTTAAGTGGGAGCCAAATGGATGCCAAGCTCCAAGCACGAACGGATATCAACATCACCAACTCTGGAAATTCTTGTTGTTTATAAAAAATAGCTGGAATTAAATTTCTGTCAGATTAGTTTACCTCTTAAAAGCTTATATATTGTTTTGAAAGCATAATTATATTATTTGATAGCTAAATAAAACGGAACTGTCGCAGATAATTACTTAAATCCCATAGTGCAACAGTCTTTTCTTAACTTGCAACGGAGTATAGTACGAATTTAAGCAGCATTTTATACTCAAGCAAATTTAACTTAATAAAAGTTTATTCGAAGTCAAGAACTCTAGAGCGCAAAATCAAAGATGTGAAGTAAGAAAAACTGATTTAAATATTCAACTTAAAACAAAATATGTGAGTTTGCAAACGGTTCCAATTTAGAAAAAAGGGTGTGATATTTTCTATTCTCAGTGAGAGGGTATTAGTATTTTTGTTGCAATTTTAGAAGTTTTTTGAGTATTATCTTAAACTTTGTGTCAAATTGCTAAAATAAAACAGGTTAGAACTTTTTTGTCTTCAAAAATTGCGAAATTTTGTTTGGAGAAACCCTTCAGATCTCTACCTCAAACTCATTTATAGTTGTAATGATGAACTCAAATCATATTTTGCCACTCGCTTCCTTTTCCGTAATTTATTCCGTTTTGATGGTTTTAACGCTTAACGTAGGTCACCTATCGGAAAATGTCTGTCATGTTTTTAGCTTTAAATAATTTGAAGGGAAAAAAAATTCTCATTAAAAATTTGTAATTTGGTTTTTCACCTGCGCTACACACACAAGAGTTGATTGTCTCAATGTTAAATTTAGTCACGTGCCCTAAACTCCAAATATTTATTAATTTTATTAGGTCAGCAGTTAACAAGAATATATAGGGTGATTCAGTACAATTCGCGATCGCAACGCTCGAGTACGCCCTCTATCGGGAGCCTGTAAATATCAGACATTAATTTATCACGTTTTCATTTAGTTCCATCAAACTCATCGGCTATGACGGACGCCATTTTCTTAGCAGCAAATAAAAATAAAAATTTCCCTAAGGAACAGCTGAAGAACTTGAAAAAACTAACCAGAACATGCCAAACATTGAAGCAGAACACGCCAAGCATTTGAAGAACAATTTCTGAATAATTTTTACCTTTCTATTACCAACAACATAACTTAC